TTGTATGTTAATGATGTTTCAGATGAACAAGTTCAAGAGATTAAACTTTTAGGTATTAAAATAGTTTGTAAATTATCATGGTCTACACATATTGATGAATTGGTGAGTAAGATGGGAAGAGGAGATGTTGTACGCTTCAATGCTCATATAGAACTAATGTAAATATAATGTACAGCTCTTGAACCTGGTTAAAGGTAAAAGATAGATGTACTGCTTTATTTAAAAAAGAAAAACATTTCAGTTACTAAATTACCAAGGGTATTACATAGACAGCTATGCTGGAGCTGAGATGTGCACGACTATTATACCAGGCACGCTGCTGAGGGTAGACTCACACTACCAAAAGCAAAAACCAGCATAATGAAGAACACTGTAATGTACTGAGCCATGGTTGCATGAAACGCTGTGCCTGAGCATATTATTCAGGAGAACAGTAAAAACTGATTTAAAATGTCACTGAAACAACATCTCCTGGCGAAACAGCTTTCCTCATCCAAGGATGCTTAGACACCAGGTAATAGATTTTCTTATTTTCGTTTTCTTCTGTTTGTTCAGTTGAGTGATTTTTACTGATGAGTGCTGGGAAATGTAGTGTGTTGTATCGTGTTTGTGTATGGTTGTATTGCCTTTGTTGTGTTGGTGTGTGTGATTCTCTGTGTACTACACTGTACAGAGTTTTGTGTCCGTGTGCACCCCAAGAAGAATATCTGTGGCTTCGGCTACAGCTAATGGGGTTCCTAATAAATTAAATGAAACACAGCTGGAAGAACGACTTCACAACTCATTGAGGAGCACATGAATGCACCGTGAGCCGCTGGTTGCAATTCACAACCCTCACCACTAGATGGCACTAAAACTTACACACTGAACCTTTAAAGCCAGAATGTGGAAACAACATGGACGCTGCTACAAAGATGCAAGTGTTTGTAATCAAAATCTGCTTAAACAGTTTGAATCTTTCTATTACAAAGTGATTTTTGTCCCAGAGTTTTTTAATGCACCACTACATTACTTGAAACTAGTGTTGTAGTCAAGACCGCCCAAACCGAGACCAAGTCAAGACCAAGACCAGAGTTTATTGGGACGGAGAGAGAGCGAGACCAAGTCAAGACCAAGTCTAGTTCCCCACATTATATGACACACAATAAAATGTGGAATGAGATCACAGGTACTTCTCAAACTGAAAGATCCACATTCTCATAAAAACACCCACATACAAACACTAAGAGCTGAAATCAACGTAAGCATCTTTATTCAACTCTCCTTTTACCCTCGGGTACTAATAAAGACACCTTGACCTTGACCTTTTCCATGCTGACCATCGCGGGGAGGGGGGTCAGTCATTAACAGGAACAGCACATTTTTAATTAGGGTTATTGGTTGCTATTGAAGCAATTCGTTTTCCATCCAATCAAAGTTTGGATATTAACAAATAAATCAGACGACGCAATAGTAATTTATTGATATTCCCAAAGTTATGGTCTTGACTGGCCTTGGAATAACATCCCAAGTCCTCAATGTCCGAGACCGAGACAAGATAAAATGCTGTCGAGTCCAAGACAAGACCATCAAAAAGTGGTCTTAAGACCGGTCTCAAGTACTACAACACTACTTAAAACCATTCAAATATTGCTCGTACTGCAAATACTGCTAATAAATATCTTTCTTAATTCATCTAAGTCGCTCTACATGGACAGCAAACTACCTGTTATAACCTAATACCACATTACAAATGACACAGGAGCAACAAATGTATACGCAATATGTGATTTCGCACCATTAATGAAACGTTTCTAGCCATCAACCGCGTCGTGCGCCATGTTTCTACATGTGTGACGTCAACAACTCGGCAACTCGTGTACCAACATTTTCTCAAACTTACAGAGTTGTTGTTCCGACTTCAGGCGGCGTTCACGTGTTTTTTCCCCCCAGTCTGGAAATCCTTTTCTGATTATTCACATGAATGCACAGTTAATCCATCAGGTGGGCGGAGCCAGATCATCTAATGTAAAGAATATTACTGGGGTGGTGGTGAAAAACGACCCATGTAGCCTGTGAATTTCAATAACTGACCAGAGCGGGTCATCTATGGCACTGTGATGTTATATTGTTATAAAAGACACAAGGAAGTCGTTTCCATGTCGAGCTGGGACACTCTGAGTTCAGGAGGCTGTGGATGATGGTTTCCAGCGCTTGCAGCTCCCTGGGTGGATGTGCAGTCAGGTTGCAGATCCGGACTGTTTCCGTGTGAGTCTCTCGATGTCGGTGGGGATTATAATCTGGGTGATGTGAGGACTCTCTGCTGCGGTTCTTAATGCTTCAGTGTTGTTCTGATGCCAGTAAGTCATCAAACTGTAATGTGGTTATATTATGCATAATGTTTGCTCTGTGGCTGTGTTTATAAGGGTTTTATAGATGATCGGGGCCTCCATCTGGTTTCTCCTCAGTCCCTCATCGATCTCTTCTTTCACCCAGATCCTCCTTTGCTCTCAGAATCATCTCCTAACAGTTTTAGTTGCATGAAGTCGCCTGGCAGGTTTTAGTTTTGACATTTACAGAAGCAGCAGAGTGGATTTCATTTTTCTGCTGGGACAAAAGTCTGGATCTGCGATTGTTTGTTTAAAAAGAACAATATTGTCAGAACCCTGATGGAAGTCAATATTAAAATGACCTTGAGGAAAATCATTTTTAGTGCCTTAAGATATCTTGAATGCCCCGGATTCATCAAAAATAAGCTAATTATTTTCTTTTTTCTATCAATCTCTATTAACCTGTCATGTTCAAAAATAGAAAGCTGACTGCTGAACAGGCTGCTGATATCTACACTGGTGCTCAGTGGTGTAGTCTAGTTTTTTGTTGAGTATACTGTGATTTTTCCCTCTTAGCCTCATACTCACCCCTCCCAGAGCGACATCCCAGAAGCACCTCTACGCTCACAAACAGTATGCATGTATGTGGCTCTGGCATTTTTGGCCCAGGCGGCCCACCAAAATCGGTCGGACTCCCCTCAACAATACCCCATCCTTCCATTTAAGGGCTCAGATTAGGGGTGTGACGAAAAACTCAGCCCATGAGACGTGACATTGAACAAGATTGGGGGCCATGACAACAAGACAAAAATGAAAACAAATGCAGGCCTATTGATGGATTAGTCGATAGGAGGGTCCGGGGCTCCTCCCCCAGAAGAGTTAAACACTTAATTTCCTGCATTCTGGAGACATTTTCTGAACCAGGGGAGCACAAAATTCAGGTGGCAGGTGACAATATGAAAACAGAATAGAATATAATGCAGTAATCTGTACCTTCTTATTGTACTTAGCTTAAGTTACTGGTTTTTGCACAACCCAGTTTTCTTCTGGATTTACGCATTGCAGGCTTACTGTGCAAATAAACCTTTTTCACAGCATTTTTATTTGTTAATCAACATTTCTATTTATATCTTCATTATATTTTTCAGAAGATTTTTAACAAATGCTTTCAAAAGTGGGGGCTGCATGTCCCCAGCGTCCCCAGAGTGAATGAGCCTCCCTCCCTGCAGGTTGAGCTGCTCCAAGCTCACCGCTTCACCTCCTCTTGCCTCCTGCTCACTTTGTCACTCGCTAACACATCCTCCTCCTCTGCCTGGCAGGGGCCACCACAGCTCCTTCACTCCTTCAGGTGCCTGTACCTGCTCCACGCAGGGTCCTGCAGCTGATCTTGAAGCTGCTGCAGCCCCAGCAGCAAACATATCAGTTGCTTTCGCGCATTTGGCAAAACAGTTGGAAACAGAGAGCAGAGGGGGCGGGGGCCAGTAAAAGATGTGATTGGGCCGGTCCAGTGTCAGTACAGAAAATTACCCAAAGAGCCGCTGTCCGTGCTCTATGGGCCGATCGTTGGCCCGTCACGTAATACATACCCCAAAGGTGTGGCGGCCCCCCGGGCATTTGCCCTGTTACACTTCACATACAAGACGTGACAATCCAGAATATCAGGGTCACAAGAACAGGACTAGAAGATATTTTAATACTATTTAACAGAAATGTTCACTGATGAAAAACTATTGGAGGGTCTGGGGCTCCTCCCCCAGAAGATTTTGAGCATTAAACACTTACTTCCTGCATTTTGGGGACATTTACTGCACCAACTTATGGTAGAAAAGTCTTTATTTATATAAAGGGGAGCACAAAATTCAGCTGGCAGCTGACAATTCAATGTAAAATTATAATTAATATAAAATAAAATGTTTTTTTGGACAATGCAGATCTGTTTTTTCTATATTTACATTGTACGTTTTCTTATTGTGCCAAAAGAAAAATTTCATAGCACTTACATTTGTTATTTAACATTTCTTGTTGCTATTTTTCAGAACATTTTTAACAAATGCTTTCTAAAAGTGGTGGGAACAGTGTCTGGGTCCCCAGTGTAAATGACACCAATGCAGGTGGGGAGAATGATTTCCTAATGCTTAGTGTTAATAACCATTTTTATGAAGCAACGCTGCACTGTGCCCAAGTAATTAACCTAACTCTGCCAGTTAGGAGCTGCTTGAAGCCTTAGATTTTATACGAATCTGGTCACTGGAGCACAGGTTTCATCAGCTGGCAATTTTCAATGCATATTTAAGAATGTTAGTTGCAACTATTATCAACAATGATGGAAAGCTGAGGCTTATCAGCAGCAGTAATAACAATGAACATAGGCCTATGTGCAGTTCTGTCACCAACACTCATTCATTACAGAATGTTATGAACAGTGAGGACACAAAAAGTGGTCCACATCCTCTCAAGCACACTTATCTTCCAAAACCACTGTCAAACGTAGGTTATGTAGCTTCTGTATCAGCTGAAATGCATGAGCAAGTATCCAGGAACTGCTGCTTCTACTACTGTACAGACACACAGTATCCCACATTCATTCATCCTCCACATTGACCTTAGTTAACTAGCTCTAGATGCAATTCAATAGACCAAAAATGCTGTTACAGTTCCGTTAATGATGACCTTTATGCTACTTTCACTCACCAGGTAACGTTACGACAGCATCACCTCATCCGGCTCGTTTTCTGTAGTTTCAGTAACCTTAACGTTCGTGTCATCTGCACAAAACACAAAGAGTGTAGCTTGAGTCGGAAGCCCCAACTTCAGTTTAGTGCTTCGCAACACAGACGGGGTGAATTTACCGTATCCCTGCGTATCACGTAGACTCCACCACTGCTGGTGCTGCAGCTGCAGGATGTAAATCTGCAAACACAGTTAATCATAATAAAAATACTAACAGACTCATCTTCTCCATCAGGGAGGACACAACTCAACCCGGATCCTGGAATTCAGACTGACACAGCAATCATCCCAGAATTAATTTAAAAAAACACAGCTGTTAGTAAATAGATAGAGAAAGTAGTGAAAAGCCACACCGGCATGGCGGAACAGGTGTGGCGTTTCAACACTGTTACAAGTCACGTTTTCTTTTCTTTTCACGGTCTAACCTGGAAAGCTGGATCGCTGTGTGAAAGCACACACTGTTGCAGGGTTACGTCCACTGTTGCGGACATTCTTTCCGCGTTTATTGCTGGATCTGTGTGTGTAAGCGGCTTGTGTTTGAACTGTTCAGGGGTCAGATTGTTTTTGTGTAGAAATGGCTGGAGATGTTTGTCCTTTAATGAGAACAAACTTCAGAGTAACTTCCTGTTATCACAAGAGGACAGAGGGAGACGATGGAGGCGTTCAGAGACAGATCAGACAGTGAGAGGATGTTTCCACAGACGGACACTGTTGAGGTGTGTTCACACTGAAAGTTAATATTCGCCTCGCTTTACTCGTGCGAGTTTGACCGCTGAACATTTTGAGTGTTCACACACACACAACGCGTTTGAAGCAAATAAAATAATAAATCACAGCCCGCGGATAGTACAGCTATATGAACCCAAAGTAAACCCTTTGCTGTGATTTAATTGCAATAAACGGATCAAAATGCTGAAATAACTACAACATGTAGCAGATTTTTAAACATATGAATTCATGCTTTGTCAGAATATAACTATTAAAATGTTTGTTTTCTGAATGGAGTTTGGTTCGATCAGGGCTATGCTACGCTAACTTGTTCACAGTAAAGACCAACGACAGCTGGAATAAAGTTACAGACACATGTTTTCTGAACTCACCAGGTAGTTCAACCTCCTCGCTTTCTTTTCTCCAACTAATGTCCAGTTTTATCCGTTTTTTATGTAAATATGAAGTCGTAGTCTGACAGAGCTAACGACGCTAACAACAACAGTGGAACAGGATGTGCACAGAAGCTGCTGAGAAGCTCCAGTGAAGATAAATCAACGTTGAAATCCCAAAAACTAAAGTAAAAAGCTGATTTAATAAAAGCAGTTAACTCTGAGCTCCTCCTGTGAGTAAACGGTGTAGCTGTCAGAGCAGAATCTGACCGACTGCGGGTGTTTATCTGTCCGAAAGCTGCAGCGCTGCTGAACACGTCCCCGTTCTTTAGCAGCTCTCCGCCGGCCAGCGGATTGTCATGACACCGCTCGCCTGGTCCTCTCCAAACAACGCTCCGAAGCCGCCAGTGACGTTTGGACAGTCTCACCGCTGATTGGCTTTTGCAACATCGTGTCAAGCTAATTTCTCGCCCAAGTTGAAAAATCTGAACTTGCGCGAACCAGCGAATGTCGCGACAAACGGCTCTTTCGCACCGCCCGGAGCGAATTCGCAGGAAATCACGTCTTTGCAGTGACCAGCCCAAAACGCTGGATTCACTTTCGGTGGGATCACAGCTTTAGGCTGTGAGAGGAGAAACGATCACTGATGCAGTTGCACCTTTTCAGCATCTAGAACGAGTCTCAAACGTCCTCCAGAGGCATTTTTAACCATCAGATTTCAATCTGTCTTGAATGCTTCTCAGAAGCATTTCAACTTTTTTAGATTTTAAGATCTGTTAGCGATGTGACGCCTGAAGTGACTCAGTGTGATCGAGGTCTGAGAACCACACAACAGCAGATTTAACTGAAACTCCAAATGTCCAGAAATCTTTTTTGTTCACTCCTGAAGTTTCTCCTGATTGAAATAACTAGAGAAGCTGGACGATGCTTCTGCCCAGACGGAAGCACTACATGCATCACTGCGTATATTTCACTGACTTATCGATTCATTTCTGAACATGTGTTCAGTTACTCGTTGTGTGCAGCATCTCAGAGCAGGTTTGATCACTTCACGAGTCTGACGTCTACGCGTCGGTTCAGATGCTGAGCTCTGCAGGTGTGCAGCAGAACCAGAATCGTGCAGCACTCTGGAAAGAAGATGAAATACATCTTCCCATTTAGCAGATTTTTTTTTTATGCATGTCATATTGGATGTGAAATGGTGTGTGTGCGTCAGGTGTTCACGTGTGGCTGAAGTTTTCTTTTGATGTACCGCCCTCGACACGGCCCCCCCTGATAGTCAGACAGGATTTCTCTCTTAGCTTGAATACATTTTGACAGAGAGTTTGAGGTCTGTCAGATCTGATGTCGGGACTAATCAGTGCATTTCAGTCAGGACCCAGTTTGTGATTTCAAAGCTTTGTTATGTCAAACACTGATCAGTCTTAGGAGAACCTGTGCAGGCTGGATGTGCCTGTACGTACAGAAACTAAAATGTGTGTGTGTATAAACTGAAAATATAAAGTAATGAGCTGGTTCTGTGTGTCTTGGTGGTTCAGCAGCTGCTTTTATTATTTATTTAGTTTCTCTCACTGATCTAAACAGGACTGCACCTGCAGGCACGCTGGAGGAAGGAAGGTTTATTAGTTATCAACAGGATTCTTTTGGCAAATTCAACAAGAAAACATGCGGTTCAGACAAACTTACACCCTCACAGTGAGTTGCTCGGTGGCTCTGAATCCAGTCAGACCGTGGGTCACAGGAGGGGGGGGGGGGGGGGGGGGGGTTGATCAGCCTGCAAATCAGCCACCAAAACCAGCAGCAGAGGGAGGCTTCAGCAGACGACGCTGCTGCAGCGGGAGAAGCAGATAAACAAAAGCAAAACGAGCGATCAAACGCCGCAGCGAAGTGGAGAGCTGCATGTTGCACGCTGGTTTGTAAAACTCCCAAACAGCGAGGATCAGTCTCTCTACCAGTGATTTGTGCTGCGCGTCGCGTACAAAAAGTTCCAGACAATTCATCAGCTTCGGCGGCGGCGGGCGTGTGCGTGAGGCGAGCTAGGCTGGCAGCTGTAGGGTTAGCTGGTCGACATGCACATTAACCGACTTAACTTCTGTGACGGTAAAGGTTAGGGTAAGGCGCTTCGGGGGACTGTAAACACAAACTTCGCTAGCTAGCTAGCTGGTTAGCAACCCGGAAGCGCTACTAGCGGTAACCCCAGGGCATCATATACAGACTCGCCTAGGGACGTCTCCCATACACGGCAAATTGATGTTTTCGGTGCAATAACTGCACATTGTCAATTGTGGGTATGTGACAGAGATGCGGACTCGAGTTTGAGACTCGGACTTAAGTGGCACACACAGTGACTTCAGACTCGACTCGGACTCGAGGCGCGGGACTCGTGAACAATGTTTATTTTTAGGAAGCTTCTGATGAGCGTGCCGTTATTCCCCTCCCTGTGTTACCTATTACCTGCCTACGGAACGCGTAGCATCAGCTGCGCGCGGCCGAACGTGAGAGAGGACAACAAACGCCGATGTCGTGCCGAAAACTGTTTGCCGTCCGCAGGAGCGCAGCAGCATGTTAGAGCTGTATCGCTGTTCTTAACGACTACAGCTGCATCTGGGTCAAACAGACAAAACGTGCAAATAAACATCACTTTATGTCCGTGGTAACAGCAAAGGTTTGTCTTTTTAAAACTTTAACGTTTCTTTTAACTGAATAATCACAACTGTGGCAAAAGGCGTGTTTGCAGTTTAAAGCGTAACCGGGCCGTACGTGATTATTGAAGCCTGTTGTTGTTTATATTTGGAAAACAGAATGTAGCCTTTAATTACGTACTGCTGAGTTATACATAAAATAAAGACATGTTCTACTTTGCAATTATCCTTATGACTCTACATTACTTTACCTGCTCCTTTTTACCTGTTGGCCAAAACAACACATAACATGCAGTATTTCACTTGCCATGAAGTGATTGCAGCTTCTACTTATTGACTGACTGGTAGTTTCTGCCCTGAAAACCGTTGATTCCATTAATGAGACACTGGGTTTGAGAGTCTGCGGTTGGTGTTGAGTTAATAAGCATAATAAGCAATAACTGTCATGAGTTGCAGTGCACATCACATGGTTGTGCAGTGAAAAACAGGTTACAGTTACAGAATCCCTTATAGCTCTGCAGTTTTATAATCAGCCTGGACTGAACGCAGCAGCTGATACAACATTCATTATAACCACGAGTGACTTGACTTGGACTCTAGCTCAGAGACTCGACTTGGACTCTAGCTCAGAGACTTGAGACTTGACTTGGACTCTAGCTCAGAGACTTGACTTGGACTCTAGCTCAGAGACTTGAGACTTGGACTCTAGCTCAGAGACTTGAGACTTGGACTCTAGCTCAGAGACTCGAGACTTGGACTCTAGCTCAGAGACTTGACTTGGACTCTAGCTCAGAGACTCGAGACTTGACTTGGACTCTAGCTCAGAGACTTGACTTGGACTCTAGCTCAGAGACTTGAGACTTGACTTGGACTCTAGCTCAGAGACTCGACTTGGACTCTAGCTCAAAGACTTGAGACTTGACTTGGACTCTAGCTCAGAGACTCGAGACTTGACTTGGACTCTAGCTCAGAGACTTGAGACTTGACTTGGACTCTAGCTCAGAGACTCGAGACTTGACTTGGACTCTAGCTCAGAGACTCGACTTGGACTCTAGCTCAGAGACTCGACTTGGACTCTAGCTCAGAGACTTGAGACTTGACTTGGACTCTAGCTCAGAGACTTGACTTGGACTCTAGCTCAGAGACTTGAGACTTGACTTGGACTCTAGCTCAGAGACTCGACTTGGACTCTAGCTCAGAGACCTGAGACTCGACTTGCACTCTAGCTCAGAGACTTGACTTGGACTCTAGCTCAGAGACTTGAGACTTGACTTGGACTCTAGCTCAGAGACTTGAGACTTGCACTCTAGCTCAGAGACTTGAGACTTGACTTGGACTCTAGCTCAGAGACTTGAGACTTGACTTGGACTCTAGCTCAGAGACTTGACTCGGACTCTAGCTCAGAGACTTGACATGGACTCTAGCTCAGAGACTTGACTTGGACTCTAGCTCAGAGACCTGAGACTTGACTTGGACTCTAGCTCAGAGACTTGACTTGGACTCTAGCTCAGAGACTTGACTTGGACTCTAGCTCAGAGACTTGACATGGACTCTAGCTCAGAGACTTGAGACTTGACTTGGACTCTAGCTCAGAGACTTGACTCGGACTCTAGCTCAGAGACTTGACATGGACTCTAGCTCAGAGACTTGACATGGACTCTAGCTCAGAGACCTGAGACTAGACTTGGACTCTAGCTCAGAGACTTGACTTGGACTCTAGCTCAGAGACTTGACTTGGACTCTAGCTCAGAGACTTGACATGGACTCTAGCTCAGAGACCTGAGA